GCCTTTGGTCAGCTTTGGGGTAATTTTACCACTAGTACCTCCTAACAGGGAGCTAAGGTGTGAGCTTAGTTCTGCTTCATGCTTATGTTAAGGCAGCATCCTTCAGTTACAGCTTAAAGTAGAAGATCTACTTTTTGACCCTCATTTAGACAGTGTTGGACTTTAATTTCTGTTGGTGTCATCCTGTGATTCCCTCAAATGAACAGCTTGGGTTTGTCATTCCTTCCAGATAAGTAAATGTCCTCAGTGTGGAAGGAACTTCCAGCACTCCACTCATCTCTCTAGATTCTTGCTTTCTTTCAGATTTTGACCTGAAAATTCCTAGTATAGGAATCTTTTTTCAGTTTGCTCTTTATGAATATTTAAAAAATATTTCCCCAGTAATTTTAGTTGTTTTCAGAAGAATGATTTGCTGGAATATCCAGGTTGGTTACTGCCAGAAATAAGGGTGCTCAGCTTTCCTCCTCACTCCTTCCCCCTTGAATGTCCTGTCACAAAACATCTAGTAGTTTCCACTTAACTTTCTTATTCCTAATGTTTTTGTTCATAAAGTCATGGGACAAATCTCAGCCCTGGTTGTGTTCGAGAATCTTCACTGGGAGGTGGTCATCTTTCTAGCTGTCCTGATATTCACTGGCACATGCTTCAGCATGCCTCTTGTTGTACATAGTTATGCTTGTATTTGTCTTCCCTGCTTAATTAGAATGATCAGTATGATCTATTTATCTTTGAGTCACTGTGATTCCTAATGTCATGTTTTGCAAATCACTGCACTCTATGAATGGTTGCTGAATAAAAGTCTTTCCTTTAACAATAATTCCCTGAAGGACATTTAAAACCCAGTTGTCTGACTTATTCAGGCTTTGGGTAGAGAAGTAAGACAGAGATTTCCTACTTAATCACCAACACGGCCTTTTCCTCTTATACTTTATCAAATCAATCTTCGTGTAAATTTTGGGGTTGGAAAACTTGGTTTCTCTTGACATCTCAGTGTTTTGTAAACTTTTTGTCTTGAAGTAACTAAACTCCCCCCACCCAATGCTAAAGAATACTTATTTATCAGATAAGATGCCTTTGTTCACATTCAGCCATTTATTTTCTGTTTCCCATCAGCTCCCCGAGGTCTCAGAGGGCCTTAGGCCTTAGAATCCCAGAAGGCTGTGAATACTCTCCCAACTTAATTATAGAATCTGAATTGACATAGGAATATAGAATGGGCTATTTTCAGCCACTTATTTAAGATTCAAAAAGGTTTGGACATCTAAGTGTCCAGATAAACTCTTCATGAAATGTTTCAGTCCATTTTTTTCTCAATCACTTAATCTTTCAGGACAGATGTCATTGCTTTTACAAGTGACCTTGTACTGCTGCTTCTTTCAACATTCAAAAGATCTACAAGACTGTGAGCCATTAAACCCAAAGTCATATGTCAACGTTCTTGATTGCTTGAACATAAGTGGGTAAGGGTATTTCTTTTGTCAGTTACTATCTGAAGAAACATTTTCCACCGAGGATTTCAAATTGAATGTATTTGCATAATAGTTTTTATTATTATGAAAAAAAGATTCTGCACCAAAGTAAAACTTGATTTGCCTTTTTCTTGAAATGAAAGAAGCACCCACTCTGATTGAGTCTGCATACACACACAAACAAAATATATATGCACACATACCACACTTTACATCAAATTGAAATGCTGAGAAATCTCAGAAGTAAAGAAGTAACAGGGGTGGGGCAGGAAAGTTTATCAGTGTAGATTTCTATTCTTTTTAAGATGACTTTGAGAATAATAAAAAAAAATAGGAATGATATGGATTATAGTAGAAGAGCAGAGAACACATTCTAGGGAAAAATTAATAGTCTGTGAGAAAACTCAGAAACAAAAGGAGAATTAAAGCATGCCATCACTTATTAAGTTTTTGTTTAAAGGGTCTATTATGTACCCTGCACTCTGGTGGGGGCTGTAGATCATCCAGAATACATTTCTATGTTCCCTGTCCCAAAGAAACAGTCTATAGAAGGTGTGTATATATGTGTGTGTGTTACTATATACTATATATATTCTATACCCTACATGGTATTATGTACTATGTTCTATACTTATATAATATATAGTATATAATGTATTATAAATATATAGTATTTAGTATAGAATATATGGTATATATAATAATCTATATACTATTTATAACATATATATCGTACTACAAGATAGTATCCAACCTATTCACCATAGAAGTATGATTTCAAGATCTCTAAATGTTAGGAAGAGGAAAAGCATCTGTGTGGACTCTAATAGTCAGGGAAGGTTTATTGGAGGATGTGGGTCATGATGAGTATTCAGATACAGAAAACAGCAGGCCATACAAGTATGTGAAACAGCATGAGAAAACGTATAAACACTATAGTTGTGGCCAAGAACAGGGACTATCTTAGACATAATCAAATTCTTGCTTGAATCACAGAAAAAGATGCTGATGCTTTAGGGAGATGGTGAAAACAGTTTGAGTCACAAAACTGTTATTAAAATTAAGCAACATCCTTGATCTTCCCTAACTTTGAGTGTGTTCACCGCATCTTTGACTTTGCTTGCTCCTATTCTTTTTTTTTCCCTCATCCCCTAACCTAAGGTTTAGAGATAATAAATCACATATTATAAAATTTGATAATTCAGGAAAATTCAAAAATTAAAATTGGAATATTCCAGAAAAATCAGCAAGGGCAAAATGAGTTTTTACTTGAACAAGCAGCATGGGACCATGCCTGCCTTAGTCCCTTGGAAAAAGTGTGTGGGACAGAGTCTGTCATAAAATGGCAGTAGCATAAAATATGGTGGAGAGCACCTGGGTGGCTCAGCCAGTTAAGTGTCTGCCTTCAGTTCAGGTCATGATCCCAGGGTCCTGGGATTGAGTCCTGCATCAGTCCCTGCTCAGTGTGGAGTCTGCTTCTCCCTCTACCCCACCCTCCTGCTCATGCACTCACTCTCTTTCTCTCTCTCTGAAATAAATAAATTTTTTTAAAAATCTAAAAGAAATATGTTGGGTAGAAAGTGGATTAGAAGTTAGAAGACTTAAATTTTGGTACTGACTCTACTACTTGAGTGTATTATTTAGTTTTTTATATTCTCTTCAGATTTAAAAAATGAGCCTATGATAAACTAGAAATTATGCTTTATGCTAGGGACTCAGCTACTAATAAAAAAAAAAGTTCATCCCTGCTTATAAGAAGTCTGTAGAGGGAGCCAAACATGGGAGATGAGTTCAATTTAACCCCTTAAGTGCAAAGACAAGGAGGCTCCCAGGTTACTCTGCTCAGGAGAGGGCACTTGGTGCACTTGCCTTACCTATAACAAGGATACAAAGACAGTTGTGCGGTTTACTGGGTGGTGAGGGCCAAACTGAGGTAGCTTACATGATAACATCTTGTTTTCTGCAAAGTGCCATACAAAGGGACAGGGTGACAATGGCAGGTGTGTGGAACTACCTAAGCAAAGGAGCTACAGCAGAGATGATGAAGAGTGAATGTGCACAGTGCATCACATGAAGCTATTCCTTATACTTTATAGTCATTGGAGGAGCCAACAAGTTGAGAGATGTTGTGAGGTGCAAGTATACTGGATTTCTCCTAAGTTCCTGAACCTGATTCTGAAAGTAAGATGATTAGGGCTCTGGATGTTATTTTATTATGAAATAGGTGCTATTTGTATTTTGCTAACATTTCTAGCAATAAAATAGCTTAGACATGATAGACATCTCCCTCTGAGTGAAAGCATGTGTTATAAAATGGCACCCTATAAAATTAAGGGAAGGAAATGTTTGAAGTTAGACCCTGAGAAATTCTGCTTTCAAGAGGCTATTACTACTCCTTCCTCCTGTGTCTTGACTGAACTATGCACTGGTAGAAAAATTTCCAAGGGTGTGATGTGGAGAGAGCGTTGGTGAGATGGTCTATTTCCTGAAGCAAAGCAGGGCTGGTGAGGTCACTGTTCTGCCTCTGACAACAGAAGTGCCATACATCCGTTTAAAAGGAATAGTGGAAATGTATTTCCCAATTTAACATGAGAAATCTACCTTTCCTTTACCTCACCACTCCAGTTCCGAACCTCCAAGATGCCTTCTGATGAAGATCAAATGATGAGTAGGATTCTTAGACTGTTCTCCACCAGGAATTGTTCTTGAACTTTAAAAATAATGTTTGCTTTTATCATTGCACCCATCTGCTGATTGTATTTGGCCATGGCATGTGCTTTTCTTGCTTGCCCCCATCCTAGCAGGCCATCCACTGTGACGGGTAGTGGTCAGAGGACAGGTATATCATGCTCCTAGGAATCATCTGCACCAGCAGATGTTATAAATGACATGTGTAATTTAGATATCTGGATATTCTAAAAGTCTTTTTTTTTATTTTGGAAAAATAATAATATATTTGGAAGTAGTAAATCATTCTTATTTATGTTTGGACAGTATCCTTCCCAACAAAATGAGGTGGAAATATTCTGGGCTAAAAGTGAAGTATATTTAGAATCATCAAATTAAAATATGTTTATTGTTAAATATTTAAAATATAAAAATATATTAGAAAGCAAACCCAAATCATCTCTAATCTTATCATAAATATGGCTTGGTATCTTATTATAAATATGGCTTAGTAGTTTGCTTTTTCTCTTATTATGGTAGGAGACTTTCTCATGTCCTCACATAGTCTTTGGGAATATGGAAGTTGCTTCTTTTCTTGCTTCTTTTAATCTTTGTATATTTCTATAATACAGTTAATCATTATCCCATTATTGGAGATTAATAATTTCTTGTAAAAATCATCAAAGAGGGTATCTTTGTCAAGATAGAGAGAGGCAGAGGGGGAGAGAGAGAGGGAGAGACCTATCAATATTCTGGGCCTGAAAATGTGATACTGAAAAAGAAGGCATTGGAAAAATGTTCTTATTACAATGATTGTTGTCATTTTGTCTCTCCCAAACTCATTCACAGAAAGAAGTCATCCAGATGCACAGTTCCAATAGAACCACTCTGGTTACACAGTTTGTCCTGGTGGGCTTCTCTAGCCTGGGGGAGCTCCAGCTGCTGCTGTTTGTCATCTTCCTTTTCCTGTACTTGACAATCCTGCTGGCCAATGCCACCATCATGGCTGTTATCCGTTGCAGCTGGACTCTGCACACTCCCATGTATGGTTTCCTGTTCATTCTTTCCTTTTCTGAATCCTGCTACACATTTGTCATCATCCCTCAGCTGCTGGTCCACCTGCTCTCAGCCACCAAGAGCATCTCCTTTGTGGCCTGTGCCACCCAGCTCTTCTTCTTCCTTGGCTTTGCCTGCACCAACTGCTTTCTCATCGCTGTGATGGGGTATGATTGCTATGTGGCAATTTGCCACCCTCTGAGGTACACACTCATCATGAACACGGGTTAGGGTTGGGGTTGGTTTCCCTGTCCGGAGTCATGGGTTCCTTCATTGCTTTGGTGGCCACCAACCTCATCTGTGACATGCCTTTTTGTGACCCCAACAGGGCCAACCACTATTTCTGTGACATGGCACGTGTTATTAAGTTGGCTTGCACAGACACCCATGTGAAGGAACTGGCTCTATTCAGCCTCAGCATCCTGGTGATCGTGGTGCCTTTCCTGCTGATTCTCATCTCTTATGGCTTCATCTTTAACACCATCCTGAAGATCCCCTCAGCTGAGGGAAAAAGAAAGGCCTTTGCAACGTGCACCTCCCACCTCACGGTGGTCTTTGTGCACTACGGTTGTGCCTCCATCATCTACCTGAGGCCCAGATCCAAGTCTGCCTCAGACAAGAATCTGTTTGTGGCACTGACCTACACTGTGGTGACTCCCCTGCTTAATCCCCTTGTCTACAGTCTGAAGAATCAGGAGATGAAGACTGCCCTCAAGAGAGTTCTGGGAATGCCTGTGGCAACCAAGGTGATCTAACAAAAAACGCTAAAATTAATGAGGGACTCTACAGAGGTCAAAGGCAGGATATTTTCTTTGCCCTTTTGCCAATTCAGTCCTGATGTGGACAATGTTTCCAAGGACTAAGACCACTGTTGCCCTTTTCTTTCCTCCCAGTCCAGAAAAAGCATGAGTCAGTCTACATGCTACATTGTCCAATGCTTGGTTAAGAAACAAAAAAAACCAAGGGACCTGGGTGGCTTAGTTGGTTAAGCATCAGACTCTTGGTTTCGGTTCAGATCACGATCTCAGAGTAATGAGACTGAGCCCTGCGTTGGGCTCTATGCTGAGCATGGAGTCCACTTGGGATTTTCTCTTTCTCCCTCTGTCCCTCCCTGCTGACACTCTCTCTCAAAACAAACAAACAAACAAACTATAAAACAACTCACGCTTGGCAAAAAGAGTAAAATATAATTTTTTTTTCTTTTAAGGGAAGGCAATACTCAAATTGAAAGATGGCCACGGTTAGCTTTCCTGGCTGATTAGAGAACAGTATCCAAAACTATGGACAGCATCTTATCTAGGACACAGGCATCCACAAGTAGTAAACCAACTATGTACCAGGTTCCATACAAAGTGGAAAAACTAAGACGAGTAGGTTGATAGTTTACAGAGGTGGAGGAGGGGTAGGATCATGAACGGAGAAAGAAAACTATGACAATGCACAATGATCAGATCTGTTAAACGGATATAAAATAAGAGTTATGAGAGCCAAGAGAACAAATATTTATTGCTTCTGAAGGAATCGGTATTACCAGAAATGTTGATTTTTTTCAAAATTTAAAGCTAGTTTCTTATTATATTAATTATAAATTAAACACATTCATTTTTGTTTGTAGTTTTGCTTTGTTTTCATGGTAATGTGTTCAAGTTTTTAGTGGATATAATTTTATTTTAGTAATGGACCTAAAACCACCATTAATGACATCACATTTGCTGCTAACGTGGAACACAGTAAATGCTCTGGAAAGGCTCAAAAGGCCCAGATCTTGCAGCTCACTGACCCTGCAATGGTCACAATGTAAACCTTACATGATTCTAATGATTGTCATAATTTGAACTATAAATACTAAAAGGAATTGATTTTAATCTATTATTTTATTTTATTATTTTATTATTTTAAATCTATTATTTCAAGCCATGTAATTTGAGATGTTATTTAAAACTCTTCAAACTGATGTGCCTTGAATTTTTTTCATCTGGGCAACTGAGGGTTTGGTTTTTTTCTATGAATATGTGAATTATCTAGTGAGCACGTAGCTTGTCTTCTGGTTCAGAGAGTCAGTCACTATTAATTAGACCTTTTCTCTGCCCAGTGACCCAGCCCATACTAGAATAAAAATCTCCTGATTTGTTAAAATTATGTTTCATCATCACCCAAAGGAAAAATGGTTATCATTAATTATGAGACCATGAAAATAACTTGTAAACAGGGAACATGTTTTTATGTAACCAGTTAGCCATCACGCTCTCTTCCCTGTGGAAAGCTCCTTGGCTGATTTCCCTCAGTATAATAAACACTTGTGTCCAGCACATTACTTCCTGGGGTGTCTGTGAGGTTCAGCCCTTACAAGTTAAATTGTCTGTGTCTGTTCTCAAGACCATCTGTGACAGTTTATTTATTATTCTAATTATTCTGCTTGTGATATGTAATTTTGTAGTATGGGCTGGTGAAGTATTACTGCAATAAAGATTATTTGTTTCTTTTTTTCTTTATTTTATCTTATTTTTTTGAAAGATTTTATTTATTTATTTGAGAGAGAGAATGAGATAGAGAGAGAGAGCATGAGATAGGGGTGGTCAGAGGGAGAAGCAGACTCCCCTCTGAGCAGGGAGCCCAATGAGGGACTCGATCCCAGGACTCCAGCATCATGACCTGAGCCAAAGGCAGTCACCCAACCAACTGAGCCACCCAGGTGTCCCAAAGATTATTTGTTTCTAACATAACTAGATGGAGTGTTTTGGAAAAATAAAATATGACCAAGAAAATCACAGAAGAAAGGAAAATCATAAAAACCTAGAAGTGTCATTTGCTTAGATTATTTTGCAAGTGATTCTAAGTTCCTGCTCATCTGTAAATCCATGAGAATTTTTCTAATGAATTATGGGTGGACTTATGCTAGATATGCTCTAAAGATCTCCAATCACATGGACCAACACTTAAAGCAAAAGCTTTATCCCTAAGTGAAAATATTTATAAATATGTGTATGTTTAGACTTTTTGAGTTGAAATAAAACATTTCAATGATATAAGGGTCATTCTTTTGATTTTCTGCTCTACCAGCCAACTATCTGACCGTCTTTGGGGCAGGTGAGAGGGTTTCTATTTTATGTTTTCAACAATGTAAAAATATTCTTTTTCCTGTGGATAATATAGAGACATAATAAGCCAAAAAGAAAACAAAGGAAATTGTGCTATCATGATGGGCATATAGTTAATTGTCCTCAAATGCTATTTAAGGCCATACAACCTTACAAAGTGCTCTACAGCCCAATCCCACACATGCTTTGTTAGCAAGAAATTCACTACTTCCTTCTTGAGGTGACCTAAGCTGGATTTTTCAGTAACTCTGGGGATGCACACATTTAAGAAGAGTCAGAATGGTTTCTGGACAAACTCGGAGCGCAGGCTAGTTCACTGTGCCGCTGGTCCCCCACCATCCTTGGTACCATTTGCAGAGCTGTCCCTACAGGACCCACAGGCAGCTCTGGTGCACACACCACTGCAAAGGGCTTCCAGGGTGGCATGACTCTTTGAGGGATGCAAATCCATGTCCCCCACATAAATGAGGGCTCCTCATACATGTACTCCCAGGTCTTAGCTCTGTCCCTCCTTAATTCTCATTCACAACCCTGCCCTGTAGCTGTTGGCATGACCTCAGCCAGGTTTCAGAGAAGACTGAAGCCAAGTCCACAGACGGTGATTCTTCTTTGCCATAAAGCAAACTGACTTTCCCCCCAATGGTGTGCTGTTTAACTCCTGATTTGGGTTAGATTGTGTAGCCAAGATTTATCTTCTCTCATTGCTTTAGTTGAGTCCTTTGTCAGTTTACACAGTAACTCCTGAAAATGTGTTCAGACCCCTTCACTCCATCCTCCACACTGCAGACCCCGTTATCTTTCTAAAATGAAACATCGTAGCTCATCCCGACCAAACACTCTTTCCTGTGTCAAAAAGGTAAATAAAATATCCTCAAGTAAGAAATGAAAGAAGTGCATAAGTGTCTCCGGCTTGCGGGGAAAACCCCAGCAATGTTGGAAATCAGAGCTCGTGTCCTTCCAGGTCTCTGTTTGTCACATCAGTGCCTTCCTGTGAGGGAGCATGCTACCCCAGTTTTAGACAAAGTTGTATCTCTATCAGTTGCTTCATCATCTTTCTTCTTCTGACCTTAAGTCTGCACACCTGGCATCTCAGATCATCCTTCTACAGACTTCCTGTGTAAAAAATGCACTTGGCCGTCATGCTTTTATGAATCTGTGAAATGAAATGGTAATCACCCTGACTTGGTACATATTCTGGTCCCCAAATTTGTCACTCCTCCAATTCCACACCCTTCCTGAAACCCACATTTCTTATCGTGCCAACAACTTGCTGATTTACCTGTTAGTACATTAGTAAATTTTTTTAAGATTTATTTATTAGAAAGTGAGTGAGCAAGAGAGAGAGAGGGAGAGCACATGAGTGGGAGGAGGGGCAGAGGCAGAGGGTAGTCCGTGATATATTAAATGTGTATAAATAGAATAAACATGTGAACTGGAATAAATAGAAACTATCAGTGTGACAATAAATGAGTTATATGTTAATTTTATGGTTTAGTATGTCAGGGTAACATCCAAAGTGAGAGGTGCTAAGAGCTAGCTAACATCAACTTGCAGATGCATTAAACACTTTCTGAAGGCAAAGAAGTTTATTTTTTAAAGATTTTATCTATTTATTTGAGAAAAAGAGAGAGATGGAAAGAGAGAGAGCATGAGTGGGGGTGGGGGGCAGAAGGAGAGGGAGAAGCAGGCTTCCCGCTAAGCCAGGGGCCCGACGTGGGGCTCGATCCCAGGACCCTGGGATCATGACCTGAGCTGAAGGCAGACGCTTAACCAACTGAGCCGCCCAGGTGCCCCAGTACATTAGTAAATTTTGGCACATGCTTGAGATACATTTTTCTAAGGGTTTTTAAATATATTTTTTAAACATATTGGCTTTCTTATGAGATCACATTCAAATAATGCAACATGACCCACAAAGGCCTGTGTGTCCTGCTCCTTATTTCCAGTCTTATTTATGGCCAGGTGCTCTCCTCATATTCTAAGTCTGAACTTTTCAATCTATTTGAGGTGAAAGACTAACTTTCCTGCAAATTTATTATGTACCAGTGATATTATAAAATACAATGAAAGTGAATTATTTAAAAAACAAAATTAAAAGGACACACAAGAACTTTTCTTGTCTTACCATTAAGTTAACATACAGAAAATTAATTGAATTGTAAAAGTTTTTAAGTCTAGCTTCTCTTGTCAGGAAGGTGTAGCAATATTTCCTGTTCTCATCCTGTTCCTTGAAAGGCATTGCTCAATGCTTCTGGTATTTCCAAAATACTTGGAATCCCACAACATTCAAAACTGAAATATTATCCGTCTCTGGGCCTGTAATTTTTCAGCTTGGAGTCCCCCCATAAGCAAGCCAGTTCTCAGTTTCAGTGAAATCTCTGACACCTCTCTTGTAATCCAGGAGGAAGAACTGGCCACTCCTTCTCTTCTGCCCACAACAGAAAATCATTGCTTCTGACCAGCTGTCTCAGCAATGTCTTCTGACTATCTGTTCAAATGGCTATCTCCAGCATTGTAGAGTATTTCTCAAACTTGTTACTGCTCTCAAATAAGTGTCTTCAGCACAGACATATCTCAATTCCAAACCTAAACCTGATGGCCCAGTTGACATCTCCATTCTGAATTTTAATGGGCATCTCAAATTAAACATCCAAAGC